ACTCTATGCAGAGGTTGAGGAGGAACATGGTTTTGGACTTCCAGCCCCAGAACTGTGAGGAAGTAACTTTCTGTCATTTTTTTAAGCCACAGAGTTTGGAGGCTAATGAGCTTAAACCTGTGAAAGGAGGAGGCAGGAAGCATGGTTGGGCAAGCTGAGGGAGAAGGCAAACTCCCGTGCGGGACCCACAAATCTGGGGCCAGCTTGGTGGGGAGCTGCCCCATCATACAGTCACAGCATGTGGGCTGCCCCAGGGAGGCTGCGACCTGGGTGAGGTGGCTCTCAGCAGAGGCAGACCCTGAAGGAGCTGAGAGCTGGAGGTGTCTGCGGGCCTTGTCCTCAGCAGTGAGCATCCTCCCCTCCTGGAAGGGCGATCTGGGTGGCGAGTCCTCCTGCTACTGCTGTAAGCCGAGGGGAAAATGTCTGGGTTGTGGGGATGGCAGTCATTTTATTTAATATAAAAAATATAGTTTTTTTAATGATTCAAAAATAGATAACGGAGCAAGTATTTTAGAATACAATTTTTTAATTACTAGGAAGAAAATAGAATTATAAATTGATTAATCCAGTAAAAAAAAAAGGAATGAATAAAAATAAATGCAGTAACAATAAATGTCATTATTTAATAGTAAACATATTATAGAAGCAAACCAAATACAATCTTATCATAATAGGTGTGAATTTGTTGAAGTGCCCTTTAAAATGACAAAGACTTTTAGATTGGCAGTAATAAAACAGAAATCCAGTTTTAAGGTATTTGTAAGGAACACAGCTAAAACAAAATGACAGCTGAACAGTTGAAGATAAAGAAATGGATATGCCAAGCATATACAAATAAAAGGAAAGCAAAAGTGAGGATATTAGCATCAACTAAATGGAACCCAAGACCGAAGTTATTAAATGAGAAAAGATACTTCTAAGGATAAAGAGTACAATTCATAAGGAGACTATACTATGCCTACCCTTAGTTATGTAAATTTTAGGCATAGTTATGTAAATTTTAAGGCAAAAACCAAAACGTAGAAATACAGGAGCTTAGGATAAAACCATAAATATATTAGAGAATTTTAATGTATTCTTCCATAATTTAACAAAGCATACAATGATATAGAGTGGTAATAATATTGTTTTTGTACCCGATAAATAGAAAATGTGCATTTTTCCCCTTATATCAATGGAACATTTATAAAAAGTCTATTTTTATGGCTATAGGAAAAAACTTAATGAATTTGGGGAGGAAAAAATTGTTTTATTCATTTTATTTTGTGATCCCAGTGGTAAAACAAGAAATGGACAATGAAAGGATAATAATTAAACTGTAAACATTTGAAATTATGAAACTCTTTTTTAGATGATTTCTTGATCAAATTAGAGATCAAATCCAAAATGACAGGTTATCTGGAAGTTGATCAAACAGAACATTTCACATAAAAATTTATAGGGAAACTAGAGGCCCGGTGCACAAAATTCATGCACTAATAGGGTCCCTAGGCCTGGCCGGCAATCAGGGCTGATCAGTGGGGCAACCGGCAGGGTGATTAGGGGCCCCCCACTCACACCCACCTTGGCTGGCCTGGCGCCGCCCTCTCGCCGGCCCCTCCCCCCACTGCCGCAGGTCGCCTCCCTCTAGGGGGCAACCTTCAGGGCGATGGGAGGGGGCCTGCTGGCACCCACCTTGGCCAGCCCCGCCCCCTGCCGCTGCCACCACAGGTTGCCTCCCTCTGGGGCCTGTAGACTGGGGGCAGCTCCTGTGTTGAGCATCTGCCCCCTGGTGGTCAGTGCACATCAAGTAACCGGTTGTTCTGCCAGTTGTTCCGCCATTCAGTCAATTTGCATATTAGGCTTTTATTATATAGGATGGTTAATATAGTCAGACGTACTTTCTAACTTAAATGCTTTGGGTACTATACTTTTGAAAGAATGACAAAGAAACTAAGTATTGCACCTAAAAATTTATAAAATAAGCCAAAAGAAAGAAGATAATAATGACAGTAAAAGCTAAATTAATGGAAATGGCCACAAAACAAATAAAGAAAATCTGACTTTCATTAAAAATATATACATTATATACACAACCTTAAGAATATGTATATACAATGCATACAATACAAATATATATAATACATACACACACACACACACACACACACACACACATCAGAAATAATGGAAAATACATTACTTAGATCCCAAAAGGATTAAAAGAATTCAGTAAGAAAATGTTATGCACAACTTTACATAAGACAAGTTTTAAAATTTCAAGAAAATTGATTGTTTTCTAAAAAATGAGTAAATTACTAAAAGTCAATCCAAAGAGAGGTTATAAATTCCAAGAAATTAATAACTGTAAAAAAAATGTGAGTGCATATAAAAAGAGAAAGCCTTCCAACTTTATGAAAAGCACTAATGCCTAATACCAAAGCCTGATGAAGATGAGACAACAATCATGAAAATGCCCTTTTTAAAATGGTAGCAAATTAAATCCAAGTTAGTGTTTATTCTAGAAATACAAGGATGATTTTGCATTATGAAATCTCTGAGTGTTACATATTGACACGACAGAATAAAGAACATTGTATGATCAGTATATCAACTGATGCAGAAAACGCATTTGATATAATTTAATAGACATTCCTAATAAACATGAAGGTAAATTAGGATGTAGCAGAAAGAACCTACTCTGCTACCAAACAAACAAAAGCATCATGTTGGATGGTGACTCCTGCAGGAGTGCAGGATTATGTTATAGATGCCTGGTACTACTACTGTTACTCAACTGCTGTTACTCAGCATTGTTTGAGAAGGTGAGGGAATGCAATAAGAAAAGACATAGGAATAAGCTGTATAAATAGTGCAGGTGATGTGATTGAGATTCCAGTTAAAATCTTTTAAAACCCGGTAAGTGGGCTTGGTAACAGGACTGGGAAGAAAATAGATGAAGCGCAGTTGTTTTTCTTCTTTTGAGTTAATAACTGGTTAAAATGGAGAAGTCCTTATTAAAAGAGTGACAAACTAAAATATTTAGGAATGAATTTAGTAAGACATAAGACAAATCCAAAAAGTCAGATGGTAGTAAAAGATTATATATATATATTTCTTTTGAGTTTTGAATGAGAAAACTCAAAATTCCAAAAAGATAAATTCTAAATTAGTATATAAATTTAATATAACTAGAAGGGGTACAGATTGTCAGATCAATCAATATGATTTTAAAGTCCATCTAAAAATATAAATGTGAAAAGTTACTAAACTCAGAAGAGTTTACTATCAAAGTATACTATCATATTGCAGTATGATATTAGCTCAGGAATCAATGAGCAAATCTTTGGGACAGAGTAAAGAGTCCAGAAATAGATTGAAGTATCTAGGAAAAGGTGATATATGTTAAAAGTGGCATGCCTTTCCAGTAAGGAAAAGATAGATTATAAGGAAAAATGATGTTGGGGCAATTAGTTGCCTACCTGGGAGACGATGAGGTTAGGTTCCATTTGGAGTAAAGATCTAATGTTTAAAATGGAAAATATAGGAGAATACATGTATGACATCGGGTTGGGGGGAACTGTCCCAGTAAGATAGTAAATCCACAATCCATATAGGGAAAATTAGCATATTTGACTATGTAAATATTAAAAATGTCTACATGACAAGACAACATAAATAAAGCCAAAAGATTAACAGTAGCTTACAGTTTATATGGCAGAGTTGGTGTTTAATATACTGGGACATTGTGCAAATTGATTGTAAAAGGGAAAAAGATAAACAGCACAGTAGAAAATATGCGAAGGGCGTGCACTGGAAATCTAAATTACCAAGAAACCTGTGAAAAGGATCAGCCCCATTAGCAACAAGGGAATGAAAATTAAAACAACTGAGAAGCCATGATCTGCCCCTGAGGTTGGCAAACATTTAAAGGTGGCAGCCATCCAGTGCCAATACTGTGTCAATAAGCAGGTAATCTCCCCGCACCATTGAACTGATTGCTTCAGCCTTTTTACGGAGAGGAATGTAGCCGTGGACCTTCAAGTAGTTAATGTGTTTATCAAGTTGGATCCAACTTCCAGGACTTTTTCCCACAGAAATGAAAGTACTAGAACTTTAAAGATATTTGAATATGGCTGTTTGTTCCTGCTCTGGTTATGGTACCAAACCCGGAGACAGTCTGAATGTTCATCAGGAGGAAGTGGTTGATTGAATGATGGTATATCCATCTTGTGGAATATGTTACAGTTATTTAAAAATGAGACAGACACATAGATTTGAAAAAAAATTTTAAACATATTGGTAAGAGTAAGAAGAAAGAAGTGTGTGTGTGTGTGTGTGTGTGTGTGTACAAGCATAGGGAAGTTTTTGAAAGGGATATACAACAAACAGTTAATATAGGTTATCGCGGAGTGGGCAAATACAAGTGGGTCTTTACCATTCTTACTTTATACATCTCTGTGTTTTAAAATCGGTTCACATGAGTATGTTATCTCCTGTATAAAAACATTATTATACCAAGGGATGTTTGTTGAACTGTTGTTGGAGGTTGTGTCATCTAAATAACACTCATGAAAATCACAGTTGGTGTAGCACAGGGGTAATATTGAAAACTTGTTCACACTTCACATAGGGTCTCCTGCGGGAAGACCCCAGGAGAAATTGTTGCTCTAGCCTCAGTTCCCCCACACCTGTGGTTCACTTGAGCAACTGGTTTGCCTTTATCTTACAGTCATTGGGCATTTAGGTAACTGATCATTTCCTCATTTGCTGTGACCACTAGGAATCTCAGCGTGAAACTGGAGACTGTACTGAGTCACACGGCTTACGTTCCATGCATAGCCCGAACCGCTGGCTTCATCTGGTTCTCCCCACCTTTGTTTTCCCCTCACACACATTCCTTCCTTTAATTTAAACTTACCTATTGCATTGTATGTATCCCAGTAGCCACCTGTGGTCCTTTTGGAGGGATGAGGTGGAGATATGAAGAAAGTAATGACCAGTGATTTCTATTTTAACAGGAACCTGGGAAGGAAAACAGTCTCAACAATGAACAAGCTGCCCATCACCACCAACAACAGATGACTTGCCATTTCACTTACTAAGGTAAGGAAATATAGTCTCCATTTTTAATTCATTCCAACTGCCTCATTATAGAGCCCCTACCTCTTTTATTTTATACTTATTTACAAATATTCTAAATCATATATCTAGTTCATGACCTTTAACTTCGACATTATCAAATTTAAAATAAGCAGCAAGCAAATGGCAACAGGAAATTTTGTGAACATCAGTATGCCTAAAGGGGCAGAACCCAGATGCGGTCTCTGCTATTAACTATTGTGTGTGGTTAAATTTTTTAATAGCATTAGTATTTTCCTTATTCTTAAATGTGGCAGTGCTCAGTGCAGAATATGTGGACAGAGAACAGACTGACAGTTGTCAGAAGGGAGAGGGTAGGGGGCTGATGGAAGAGGTGAGGGATTAAGCAAGAAAAATAAAATTCATAGACAACAGTATGCTTATTACCAGAGGGAAGTGGCAATGGGGGGAGGTGGAAGAGGGTAAGGGGGGAATAAACGGTGATGGAAAGAGACATAACTTGGGGTGGTGAACACACAGTACAATATACAGATGATGTATTATAGAATTGTACCCCTTAAGCTCTATAATTTTATGAACCATTGTAACCCCAATAAACTCAATTTATAAAAAATAAATATACCATCTATAAAATGAAAACCCAAAGCATTCATAATCACATCATCTGGAGATAATCACCTGTATTTCTATGAATTTTTCTCCTTCCTTTTATGTATACACAGAGATATATATGATTATAATGTTTTTGGAAACAATGTTTTTAATCCATATTTACCTTGACTTCCATAATGATAAGCGATGCACTTAGCTGGTGCAGGAACATAGCAAGTCTAAGAACAAAGAGTAATTAACACTGTAACCATTTTAATAGCCACTTGCAGTTACTGGGACATCTTAAGCATCTCGTTTGTCTCTCCAACACGGTTGTCCTGGTTCATAGGTTTGTGTGACCTTCGTTAAGCATCACTCCACAGAAAAAAACACCTTTGAATCCAGGTGACATTTCATGACCTCCCTTTATTATTATCATCTGTTTTGTGCTGCTGAATGTAAATTGTTTTTTAAAAAAACACAAGTTGACCTACTTCTCTCCTCCGCTTCCCTACTGTCCAGTCAGGGTGATTTACAAAAGAATAAAACAGACCTTCTCATCATCTGTCCTTCATTCATGCCAATTAGTCAGCTCTTCATTATGGTTGTTTTTTCAAGAGTTCCTCTTGAAGTTTTTTGGTTTTAAAAGCTGCAAAGTCTTAGAAGTGAAGTTACTGAAATGGCATTCTTTTTTTTTTTTATCTTTATTGTTGAAAGTATTACCTATGTCCCCTTTTCCCTATTGACCCTTTCTAGCGGCCCCCCCCTCTTGTCTGTGTCCATGGGTTATGCATATATGAATACAAGTTCTTCGGTTGATCTCTTCCCACCCACCCCTGCCTTCCCTCTAAGATTCCACAGTCTATTCTGAAATTGCATTCTTCAAGGAAGCATCCATTCTGTTGGCCCTATTAAATAGTTGAAGGTTAGAGAAAAATACTACCCTTCTTTATTATCATTACTACAAACTAAATTGGAAACACAAATACACCCTAATATAGAAATGAGCTAAAGATTTGTATAGGCAATTCACTCGAAAAATATAAAGAAAGAAATGAATATGATCAAAAATGTTCATCCTTACAATTAATCATATAAATGCAAAATAAGATGGATATTTTTGCCCAAAGTTAAATTGGCAGTGTTTTGTTTGATTTTAAATGAAAATACCTGATGCTGGTAGAGATATAAAGTAGATATGGTATTTTACCCAGCAGTCATTGTTCTGGGAATCTGTGGCCGCTCTAAGCAGACATGCTGTTGGTATAAAAACAGAGTACAGTTTAATTTTTAATAGAAATATAGGATGCATCCCAAATGTCTATTAATAAATATTGAAATATAACATTTTATAATATTGTTATTCAGACATTTGAGATTATTTCTAATTAATATTTAGTGATACAATGGTAAGTGAAAAGGGCAAATACAAAAATGTATATAATATATGATTCCAGTTTTGTTAAAAAAAAAACCCACACATTTGGAAAAGATCAAATGGTGAAATAACCAAATATTAACAATTATTATTTCTGGGTAGTTGGATTAAAGGTGATAGTTTTGTTTTCTCCTTTATATTTTTTCAAATAAAATACATGTTTTGCTTTTCTTAACGATAAACACAAATATTACCTTTAAAATTTGTAAATGATTGAAAAATAATGAGTAATCATATTTGATTAAAATAATCAAGGAGCCCTTCTCATATTTTTTTGAAACTTAATTCCAAATTAATTTGCAGATAGGTTGAGAGTAGTTATGCCAGAAAATGAAAATGTGGCACATTCAGTAACAGTTTACATTTTAAAAAATGGTTTAAATCCTACATGGAGATTATTTCTACTGACATAACTGTAGCCTAAGTCTTTTTCATTTATGGAGAACATTATAAGGGGTTAATATTGCCATTTATTCCTAATGAGGCCATACACTGGCATCTTTCAAGGTGTCCTGCACACAATGTGATTGATGGTGTCTGACTCCTCAGTAATGTCATCACCTTCTCTCAAGGGGTCAGCTCTCCTCCCAAGTACAAAACACTCAGACCAATGGAATCATGTGTGCCTACGTTGATCTAATGGCATCTTCTTATCTTCCTTATCAATTGATTTATTCACTTATTCTATACAAATTTATTAAGCACCTACTAGGTGCCAGGTAAAGTTTGAAGTACATTAGTGAAGAAAACAGATTCAAATTCCTATTTGGGAAGTTTAAATTCTTCAGGAGACAGGCCAAAACAAACAAAAACCCACTATAATAAATAAGGAACCTGGATAGTATGTTAGACACAGAAAAATGAAAAGAGAAGGCGAGTTAAGGGGGATCTGGAGTGTGGGGGAAGGGAGGAGCTGAACAGGTTGCAGTTTAAAATAGGATGGTCAAGCTAAGCAGAAAACAGGAGTTGGCATTTGAATGAAGACCTGAAGGAGATAAGCAGAGGTTTATGCTTATCTGTTTATGCTTGACTATTCAGGCAGAGGGAATAATTAAGGCGGAAACCTTAATGCAGCAGCATTCTGATGTGTTTGAGAAACAACAAAAATATCTGAAGCAGAGGGAGTGAGGGGGCAGTAACTCCAAAGAGCTGAGGTTAGAGAAAGAATAGGAAGAGGTCACTTCAAGATCACGAAAGAGCGAGTAAACTCAGGCATTTAGTTCCAATGCAGAGAAGTGGCTGGCCAATTCTTAGGTTTCACACACACTAAGTTTATAACACTATGTTTATTAAAAGCCCAAGATTTAAAATGTGCTTCCAAGGCTTATGAGAAAGAAGTTTTACCCCTCCTTGGTGCATAGAGTGCTCTTCATGCAATTTCATATCTAGGTTCCCTGATTATGTAGTATCCTTGTTTACACATAAGTAACTGGTGTTAAACGTTCAAATGAATTAAAATTTAAATGAAAAAAAAAAAACTTAATCATTAAGAAGTGAGACAAATACATGTTTAAACATCTGATATCTCCCAAAGGGAAAAAAAAAGATATATTTAAAAGCATTGGAAGAAACCAAAAAGATAGTTAATAGTTTTGAGTTTGAAAAATGTAAAACTTCTCTGTCATAATTATAAAACAAATTTAAAGACAGCAGCATGTAAAATATTAATGATGTGCTTGCAAACAGATTAATACTCTTAACACATAAAAATCAATAAGGAAATAAAAATCAACAACTAAAACACTAATACCCTTACTAGATAAATGGACAAAACAATAGAAAACTCAAAGGAAGAAATGCAAAGAGCTAAAAAAAGAAAAAAGATATGCAAACAATGTTAACCTTCTTTAACAATTTTAAAGATGCAGATTAAAATTAGGAGATGCTTTCTTAACCTGTCAAATTAGAAAAGGTAATTAAAATGATAATAGTGATTACTAAACATGTAATGAAACCAGTTCCCACTCACTGCTACCAGCATAAATGGGTATATCTTCTTAGAAATAAATTTAGCATTATGTAGTAAGAATTTTCAATTTAAAAATAGATATTATTATTGATTTCAGATAAGAAGAAAGAGAGAGAGTGAGAGAGAGAGAGAGAGAAACATTAGTGATAAGAGAGAACCATTGATCAGCCTCCTACATGCCCCCCCCCCCACAGGGGATCTAGTCCACAACCTCCTAGTTCATAGGTTGACTCCCAACCACTGAGCCACACCAGCTGAGCAAGAACTTTCAGTTTTTTAATGGCCTAGTATTTCTAGAAATCTAGTCTAAGAAAACATTGAAGTTGAACAAAGACAGAAACATAAAATAATTATTTGCACAGGCAAAATCCTTGGACCGCATCAGCTATCCTTTAATAACACACAATTGTGTTTGCACAGTGATATTTTGCAACTAGAAAAAAAAATTATTCTTACAATGAGATTTTTATAATCAAATGGGAAAATGCTTATCACATAAATGTTCAGTGAAAAATGCTGGGTAAGATGGTATTATAATATATTCAGTATGCAAATGAATGGAACAAGAGGTGGCAGCAAATATGCCATAATGGTGCAGTTGCCTAAGGGTAGTAGAATTGAGTCATTTTGTCTTCTGATGCTTACTTTTTGGTACTTTCCAGATATTTGTACAGGAAGCATCTATAACCAGAAGGAAAAAAATGTAAAGGCTTTGTAGAAAGAAACTTTATGGGTTGGACTTCCATAGCATCTTTCCTATGGAGTAAAGTATGCTACTAAAATGATTTAGAAGTAAAGATTTATTTTGGAAAGATTGGGGACCACTGATTTTTCTTCCTTTTTCTTTTTTTAGTATTCTGAGAAATCTCTTCCTTTCTTGGAGATAGCAGCAATAAACAACAAAAATGTACTTAACCAAAATAGATCCTCTCAGCAATATTATTGGCATATTGTATCTGAGAGTACAGCTGTAAATTCAAATAGGGACTATTTTCTCTTGCAGATGTCGTCGGCTGGGGACAGTGGAGATGCAGCACCTGGCAAACAAAACGAAGAAAAGACCTATAAAAAGGTGAGCAAGTGTTTGATTTTCTTGCCTCAGTTCAGAAAGAATGTTAATATCGTTAACAGGTTCTTGTATGTAAGTTACTTCCTTCGCTTCTTATTGCTGCTATAACAAGTGCCATACACTTGGTGGCTTAGACAACACAAATGTTTTCTCTCCCAGTTCTGTCGGAGTCTGACTGCGGGGCTGCTTTCCTTTCTGGGGGCTCTAGGGGCTGAACCCATGTTCTTGTCTCTTCCAGCTTTTCTAGGCGGCCTGCATTCCCTGTGTCATGACTCACTTCCAACTTCAAAGCCAGCGAAGGCTGGTCTTTCCCAGGCTGTATTACCCTCACACTTTAAAGAGCCCTTGTGATTACACTGAGCCCTCCTGGCTAATCTGGGATCATCCCTTTATTTTAAAGTCAGGTGATTATCGACCTTAATTTCTTCTGCACCCGTGACTCCTTGTTGCCATGTTACATAACATATTCAAAGTCCCAAGGGTTAGGACACGAACATTTTTGTGGGCCATTTTTCTGCCCACCAGTGACTATAAAATAGAACACTGACAGAAGGTAGTCCTTTGAAGACCCTTCTTATTCCTAAGAAGAAGGCCCTTATGGGTGCGCAGTGTTCTGTGTTCGGGTGAATCCTTTAATTGACTTACTACTTTCCATCAAAATGTTCAACATTTTCTACCTCTGTATTTGAAAAAATATTTTTAAAGATGAAATTCTCTCCCACCTCTTTCCAAGCCTCTCAGATTTTGTGTTTGCAGCTCACGCCACAAAATCTCCTTCCAGACTTCCCAGGGTACATGACTTTACTACTCTTTCACTTTGCTAACCCTTGGCTCCTAGCAACCAAGCTAACATCCAGAAACATCACTGGGTAGTCTACATCCCCAAGCACCACTACGCCTGATTTTAAATTGACTGTGCATTTTAGCTTTTTAAAAGTCCTTGTCCTCCTTTCCCCTTGGGAGTAGGAAGCTTATGTATCGAAGGGTTATTATATCTTAACTTTCCCTTTTACATTTCACTCTTTAACGGATAGCTAGCGAGAAGTTTTGTCATAAAGTACATGAGCCATTTGATCTGTCCGTATGTTCAGGTCATGAAACTAACAGGAACCGGTCGTTTTTCCTGTTCCATTTTCATATAGGAAAATATGCCCTTTTTCCTGGTATATCTTGTCTTCTGACTTTTCTGCTCAGCCAAACCTAGAAATATAAACAGGGAGGTTGCCATCCTAAGCGATGTTATGCTTGGGGAAGAGTAGGGTGAAGATCCAAGCACTCAGATGTCATAACATGTGTTATAAAATGTGTGCTTCTGGCCTAAGCCAACAATACACTATTTATTTTTAGACACCGGTGGAAAACCAAATCCTATCTCCTTTACTCAAGACTTCTTGTAAACTCAGTCAAGCATGAGACCAACACAAGAGAAGGCCAATGGCCAGCCTGTCATTGCTTCCCATCACTTTCAGGCAGTTGTCTCAGTCAGCATCAAATGCACCACGATTCTTGACTGATTCTGACTTTCGGGAGCTCTTTAGTGATGCAAAATTAATAGAATGTGGCTGTGCCATCCTAGAGTTTGCTAAGCATACCCTGCCTGAGAATTTAGTAAAGTAAGTTTTTAATCATACTAGAGGTGTGCTATGATGAGTGTCTCTAAAGGATATTTGACTTGGCAATGTTGGGAAGGTTATGAAACTAAAACCAGATCCTAAGAGAGCAAATAATTCCAGTAAGTACGAGAAGATGCAGGAAATTTAAGGAGACAAAAGAACCCAATGATTTTTTGTTAATGTGTGATGGCATAGGGATGCTTTTGATGGCTTCTAATTTTAAAAGGAATATAAACAATGGAGGAGAAGGTATGCAGTCTCTGTATAAGAAAAGCACCAAAAAGATAGCACAGCACAGCTGGTGTGGCTCTGTGGTTGAGCATGGACCAATGAACCAGGAGGTCACAGTTAGATTCCTGGTCAGGGCACATACCCAAGTTGTGGGCTTGATCCCCAGTAGAGTGCGTGCAGGATCAATGATTCTCTCTCATCATTGATGTTTCTATCTCTGTCTCCCTCTCCCTTCCTCTCTGAAATCAATAAAAAAAATATATTTTTTATTGATTTTTTTACAGAGAAGAGGGGAGAGGGATAGAGAGCTAGGAACTTCGATGAGAGAGAAACATCGATCAGCTGCCTCCTGCACGCCCCCCACTGGGGATGTGCCCGCAACCAAGGTACATGCCCTTGACCGGAATCGAACCTGGGACCCTTGAGTCCGCTGAGCCAAACCGGTTAGGGCTAAAAATATATTTTTAAAAAATACAGCACAGTGCCTAGGACTTGAGTCCTCAATAAACATGGTGCTGATATGCACAGCAAGAAGGGATCATGTAGAGAAAGTGTTCGTTTACTGGCTGGTAAAAGCCCAGCTGAATTATTCAATTTAACTCTTCTCAGTTAAGCAAAAAGATCCTGAAACTGGTGGTGTTCATGTGAGGGTAGAAGAGGGGATAATAGAGTCACATTCACTATAGCAAATATGTTTGTCCCTAGGCCCAGGTGAGCCATTTCCTAAATGAAAGAACTTGAAGCTAGAATAGGGAAACCACTGAGTGTGAGCTTTGAGAAATCAGAAGAAAGGAAAAATTGTCCAAAGACAGGAGATAAGCAAATATCAACCCTATTTTCTGAATGAGGAAAAGGTACATTCTGGAAACCAGATGTGAGATTGCTCCTCAACATAAATTGAGCAAGAATTAGTAAACATGTACATTCAGAAAAGAAACACATCTTCCACAAACCTACAGAACTTCATAAAGGTATAGTTTATGTCAAATGAACTACATTTGCTATTATGAGCAAGTCATTAAATTAATTGCTGATAAGGAGAATGCTCAGGTTTTATGAATCTTGATTTAAAGGCACCTGGAAGAACCTTATGGCATCCTTTCAGACAAGGTAGAGAAATATGGGTTAGATATTATGATTAGTGTGCTATACCTGATTGGACTAATGTTCCCAAAGAATGGCGGTTTTGCTCCCTATTTTTTAAAATATTTTTTATTGATTTCAGAGAGGAAGGGAGAGGAAGAGAGAGATAGAAACATCAATGATGAAAGAGAATCATTGATCAGCTGCTTCCTGCATGCCCCCTACTGGGGATCGAGCCTGTAACCTGGGTATGTGCCCTTGACCAGAATCAAACCCAGGACCTTTCAGTCCACAGGCCGATGCTCTCTCCACTGAGCCAAACCAGCTAGGGCGATTTGTTCCCTATTGACTTAGCCTCTACCAGCAGGATGCATGAGTTGACCCTGTGTAGCTTAACATTTTTCACCCATGACCGTAATAAAAGCATAAAAGCTGTGACAAAAAATGGGAATGAGAACTAATGGACTAGATGAGTGTCATCAAGGCCACCAACCATTTTATTAACTGTTGTCCCTTTTACAAATACCTTAAAGTTAAAATTGTCCCCCAGTCCTGACTATGGGGTTTGCACCTTTTTAATAAGAAGCTTTGATGACCCAATCAGGTTTTTGCCTGTGACTGAAGCCGATCTATAGGTTAAGAACTGTCCCCTACCAACCTCATTGACTATGCTCGGCATTGAGAAGGATATCAAAGAAGTTTATAAGAAACTTACAGTCGATGGAGAAGGGAAGACATGAAAACAATTTTAGAACACAAGAGTCTATGACAAAAAGTCCGAAAGAGGAGAAATCGGTCCCCAGGTTAAGAACTGTCCCCTACCGACCTCATTGACTATGCTCAGCATTGAGAAGGATATCAAAGGAGTTTATAAGGAACTTACAGTTGATGGAGAAGGGAAGGCATGAAAACAATTTTAGAACACAGGAGTCTATGACAAAAAGTCCGAAAGAGGAGAAATCGGTGTGGGTTAGAGTTAATGAGCAGTCTTAGGCTTTCTGAATCAATCCCCAGATTTATTGGGCAGCTGCCAGCAGTACTCAGCATCATGAGTGCTATGGTTTCCACGTGTTTCTAGGGAACTCGGTGTTCCTGGAACGATGTCATGCACTCTGAGTCTCAAATGTTTGCATGTGATTCCTAAGGCTGGCTGCTGCTTGTTCTTCCAGGTGTCCACGTTTCTCATCCATTATCAGGAAGAATAGCTGAAGTCAGTAGGTGAAGTTAATGTCTCCAGGTAATGGCTAAAATGATAATTTTTATTTTAGCTGCTTAAAACAAACATGCTGTCCATTAAGACAGACATTAAGGGCTGCCTAGCTGTGTTTACAGAGGGTAGTTATTTCCATTCTCAGTTCTTTTATTGAGTGTCTTTCCTAAGAGTTGTAAACACAAAAGCCTACAGGGCCAGGCAGGTAGTAAGGGAGTGGAATAACCAGGAGGAAAGTGGCAAACAGGAAAATATATGCCTGTAAGGGGGGCAGATGGCACTCAGCTCCAGCTAATAGAGCTACACGTGAGTGTTCACTCGGGATTGCCAGATTTCTCAGGAAGCCAAAAATGTGGATTCTGATATGAAATCTTCCCATTTTTAAAGGTTGGAAAGTGATTCAAAAATTTTCAAAAATGTACTCTGGCCCTCAGGCAGGGGCCAGTTTGCAATCTCCCCACTATTTGGATAGAGACATGAGATAGAAGAGGGACGTGCAAAAGAAATGCTGTAAGCCCAGCCTGGTGGGGCTTAGTTGGTCGAGTGTCCTCCCATGCACTAAGAGGTCCCGGATTCAATTCCCAGATTCTCAATCAGGACACATGCCTGGGTTGCGGGCTTGATCCCCAGTAGGAGGCATGCAGGAGGCAGCTGATCAATGTTTCACTATTTCCCTCTCCCTTCATCTCTTTCTAAAATCAATAAAAAGATAGTCTTTAAAAAAAAAAGAAATGCATGTAAGATCTGGTCCCTGCTTCCTATGACCATACAATTTACTTAAGAGAAAAAATATGGGCCCATGTGAAAAAAATCAAATAATGACTCACATTGGTTTTAAGTACCAAGACAAATGGCATTTTACTCGA